CAGTGGATTTGAGAGCTTGTAACCCCTTTCGATTGAAAAAAAACGAGCATCTAGTTGCAGCCCGCCTGGCACGTGACTCCGTACCTCTGTTCTTGGCGCCTCAGCATATCCTACTCAGTCTCAATGCTTTTCTTTCTTTCCTTCCAGTTGTAGAACTTCCATGGGCCAGCTTTCCCATGGTTCTGAATAATAGCTGTTTTGTCTTATAGTTGGTATTTTCAATGTTGTTGTGGGAGGCAGCACACACAGGTCTGTACCTTACTCCGCCATTTTGGTTCTTACCTTACGGTTTTTAATAATTTGTTTATTTTTATTTAGGTTGCCGAAAATGTGTCCATATAGTTATATATACTATTGTCTCATTATCCTTTTTTAGATATGCAGGGTCTGTAGTGTTATTATTTTATTCTTTCTTGATATTGGCAATTTGTGTCTTCTCTCTTTTTGTTTCTTTGCTTTTGAAAGAACTAACATTTGTTATTTTCTTATTTTTTGTGTGTGCTCAATATAATCAATTTCAGCTCTTATCTTTATTATTTCCTTCTTTCTATTTGTTGAAGTAGGAGTTTAGATAATTAATTTATGTATTTTCTTTTTCTAATATAAGCCCTAACACTATAAGTTTCCCCTAAGTATGGCATTCCCATCTTGCAAATTTTGATATATTGTATTTTCATTTTTTTCTGTTCAAAATATTATTTAATTCCCCCAAGTCTTCCTCTTTTACCCAGAGATCACTTAGAAATGTAATGTTTAATTTTCAAGATTAAGATTTTTCTGCTCTCTTTCTGTTATTAATTTCTATTATAAATCCATTGTAAATAGAGAACATACTTTGTATAAGTATGCTATTTTTGTCAATGTTTGTTTTCTAACCTAAGATATCGGTAAGAAATGTATAGATACTTTTCTATGTGCACATCGAACTGCTGTGCACCCTGCTGTTGTTAGATGGGCTGTTCTGCGTTGTCTAGTAGACCCAGCAATTATGAAGTGAGGGTGTTGTTCAGTTCTTCTCTATCCTTGCTGATTTTGTTTACTAACTTTATCAATATCTGAGAAAAAGCATTAAAGTCTCTAGGTCCATGTGCGGACTTGTCTGTTTCTCCTTTTAGAGCTGTCCGTTTTTCCTGCATGTGCTTTGAATTTCTGCTGTTTGGTGCACACACATTTAAGATGGTTATGTCTTCTTCCAAATGCATTCTTTTGTTTTCATGTGACATCATTTTTACCCCCTGGTAACTTTCTTTGCTCTGAAGTCTAGTTAAGCTGATGTTAATAAAGATACTCTAACTTTCCTTTAAATTAATGTTCAGACAAAGAAATATATTGTCTGTATCCTTTTAATCTACCTATATCATTATATTTGAAATATGTTTATTGTATAGGAAATATAGTTGGTTCATTTAAAAAAATCCATTCTAATAATAGTAGTGTTTTGAATACTATGTTTACACATTTTACATTTAATGTAATTATCGATATGTTTGAAATTACATCTACTAGTTCATTGTTTGATTTCTGTTTATATCCTCAGGTTTTTTTTTGTTCCCCTATTTTCTGTTTCCTTCTTCCTTCTGGGACATTGGAGCATTGTTGTTGCTTCATTTTAATTTATCTATATTGTAACAATATTTTTATCTGTCTTAGTGCTTACCCAAGGGATTAAAATATTATTACTTACAAGAGGCCCAGTGCAAAAAATTCATGCACGGGGGGTGGGAGGGGTTCCTTCAGCCCAGCCTGCACCCTCTCTAATCAGGGATCCCTTGGAGGATATCCAACTGCTGGTTTAGGCCCGATCCCTGTAACCAGCAGTTGGACATCCTTCTCGCATCTTGGGACCACTGGCTCCTAACCACTCACCTTCCTGCCTGCCTGATTGCCCCTAATCATTCTGCCTACCTGCCTGATCGCCTCTAACTTCTCTGCCTGCTTGATTGCCCCTAACTGCTCTCCCCTGCTGGCCTTGTCACCCCCAACTGCTCTTCCTGCCATCCTGGTCACCCCAACTGCCTCTGCCTCGGCCCCCACCACCATGGCTTTGTCTGGAAGGAAGTCAGACATCCAGAAGATGGCTGGTTGACCCAATCTAATTAGTATATTACCCTTTTATTAGTATACATAGATTATATAGGATAGGATTGCTTAAATGGGGGGGGGGAGCCTTTTCAGCAGGAGGAGATGCTCTTAGCAGACAAAAATACATAACCCCTATATCTAGACTGATAGCCAGCCACATGTACTATACTGACAAACCAGTCATTAAAAAAATTGAATTGCTTTCTTACACCTTATACCAAACAGCTGTTACCCTTAAAACCCCTCCTCAGTCCCCACCTTAGGTTCTGCCTTCTCAGTTCACCCAGATTAGGTTCTGATTGGTCAGTTTCTATGCCAGTCAGCATTAAAAGCTCCACCTCCTAGGCAGCCATTGGCTCCTCACAGTTCACCCAGATTTAATTCTGTTTGGTCAGTTTCTATGCCAGTCAGCGTCAAAAGTTCCACCTCCTAGGCAGCTATTGGCTCCTCACAGTTCACCTAGATTTGGTTCTGATTGGATGGTTTCTATGCCAGTTAGCATCTCCAGGCCTATCACCAGGCCTCTCTCTGGGCCTGATCCACAACCTCCATGGCAGCTGTGGATCAGGCTTTGTCTCTCTCTCTGGGCCTCTCTCTGTGCCTGATCTGCAGCCTCCACAGCAGCTGCTGATCAGGCTTGGCCTCTCTCTCTCTCTCTCCAGGCCTTGCCAGCAGCCATGGCAGCTGCTGATCAGGCCTCACCTCTCTCTCTCTCTCCAGGCCTCACTAGCAGCTGTGGTGACTGTGGATCAGGCCCTGCCTCTCTCTCTGAGCCTGATCCACAGCTGCCTCAGCAGCGGCAAGGTTGTTAGGGCTCTAGCCTGGCCCGGGCCAGAGGCTAGCAAACTTGTCGTGCCTGCCTTGCTCTGCTCCCCCCACACCCCACGCTGCCCCTCCTGCCCGCCTGCCGCCAGCCTTGCTCTGATAGGAGCCTGTGGGCTGCTGGGGAGGGACCGAGAGGTGCTCCATGCACTTCCTGGTGACCAGTCATCCATCTGGTCGTTTAGGTCGTGATGGCCCCTGACCTTCTATAATGTAGATGTTTTCACTTTCTACTTAGAATTAATATTTTACCACAGCAAGTGTTATGCAGATACCTTACCCAATATATGTTTTTAAAATATATATAGTTTCATTGATTTTAGAGAGAGAGGAAGGGAGAGGGAGAGAGAGAAATGTCACCAAGAGAAACATTGATCGGCTGCCTCCTGCATATCCCTTCTTGGGGTCCAAGCCCACACAGGAATTGAACTGGTGACCTCTTGGCACATGTGGCAATGCTCAGCTCCCTGAGCCATGCCAGCCAGGGCCAATCTATGTTTTCTCACCCTCCCTCCTTTGTAGTATAGTTGACTCATATTATTACATCTACCTACATTGAAAATCCATCAGAAAATCTTATAATTTTTTGCTTTCAATGGATTATATTATGAATATTTTAAATATTATGTTATATAGCCCTGGCCAGTAGCTCAGTTGGTCAGCATGTCATCCTGATGTGCCAAGGCTGCAGGTTTGGTCCTCAGTCAGGGCACATGCAAGAATCAACCAATAAGTATATAAATAAGTGGAACAATAAATCTCTCTCTCTCTTTCCTTCTTTCTTCTCTTTAAAAAAAAATCAATAAATACACTTTCATAAATAATAAATATTATGTTACACAACTCTGGATCTTGCTAAAATCCTGTGAAGAATAGTGTCTTTTAAAAAAAAGCAGGCAGGTGAGCCAATTGATTCAAGCCCCAAATTCAAGCCAGCCTGGGTGTTTTCAGTCAGTCCTGTTTTACTGTATTTTAGTTCTACTTAGACCAGCCCCCGTATGCCCCTGCCTTGGCCAGTCTGGAGCTTGGGAAGAGGTCTGTCTCGGAGTTCAGTCCTCAGCTTATCATGCTCCGCTTCGTGCTGGGCTCCTGCAGATGCAGCAGAGGCCTGAGCCCCGGCGTTTGGAAGCAACCCTACTGGTTTGCTTTCCTGAGCTCCCCTTGTCTGCCATCTCCACGGCACTTCCTGGCTCCATAAGCTGCCCACCCTCCTCCTCAGATCTCTTTGGCCAGTGTGTTGTGCGTGCTCATATACCCCACTCTGAAGTGCACTTTCCACGTTTGTTTCCATCTCCACAGCCAAGTGATAAGAGGACACAGAAAAAAAATCAGTAGAGATTTGTCACCTTCTCTTGGGACCCCAGTGCCCTGTATCACAGTGAACATGCCCTTCCGCACAGGTGTGGGCTCTGGAGGCCCTTCTCGCTGCTGTTTTGCTGGTACAGCTGCCACCAGTACAGAATCGCACAGGGGCAGGGAAGCGAAGGCGCGGAGAGGAAAGAGTGCGCGTCAGGAAAGCTGTCCCCAGTCTTCCCGGTGGGATCGGAGGCTCCGGAGCGCCTCGGTATCACCAATGTCCACTTCTGTGCTCAGTCTGACCAGGGGAACTGGAGAAAATTAACACGGGGAACTTTGAATTCTTGGCTTCTCCAATCTGCCTGCTTCCATTTACTTTTCAGAATGATCAAGCTGTTTTCTATGCATTTTTCAGGTTTTATAGCTATAATTACTGGGAGAGAGAAGGTGGTGTATGCTTACTCCATCTTACCTGCTCCTGTGACCTGGAAACAATACAGACAGTAAATACAGGCATTAAAACTCAGAGAGACCAGGAAAGCTGTGAGATCTGCTTGCCCTGAAATGCCACCCAGGGCCCCGCCGAGTGCTCTGCGGGGTGTCAGAGCCAGGCCGGTTACAATCCCCTGGGCCATGGAGATTACACTGGGACCTGTACATGTTAGACCCAAATCATTTCTTTTTCATAAATATACAAATCAGAGGCTCAGTTTGAGTTTCTGTTAAGCTTAGAACAGAACTCTGGACCACGGGACGGCTTAATTACAGCAATATTTATTTTAGAATAAAGTAAAGCTAGATAGACTGGCCAAAGGGGCTGTGAGTCTTAGCTCCCAGGGCGTTCATGGCAGGAAAAGCAGCGATCTGGCTGTCCCCGGACCACGAAGTCACAATGCGAGTGTGGGTTCTTCCCCAGCGAGACCCTGCAATGAGCCTTCCCGCAAGAAACTTCCTGCAGGAATAATTCCTACCCTCTAACTCGTCTTTAACTTTATTGCTGGGATTCCCAACAAGGATGCTCCTTGGTGCCAAAGCCACAGTGGCTGCTCTGATGTGGGCGCCTCTGTGAGGAAGGAGCTCCAGAGCACTTCGCAGGCTCCGCTCGGTGGCCCCTGACAGTGATGTTTAGTCGCTCCAAACTCAGATTCCATTTATACAGTGGATGTGACAGCACACGCGAATGAGTGACACAGCACACACGAATGAGTGACACAGCACACGCGAATGAGTCCAGAAGTTGCTCTTCTTTGTCACTCAAATGGATCATCCCACCCCCTCAGGGTTGAGAGGGCGTGAAGGCTTTATGTCCATGCGGGACTAGAGCACTATTTGAACTCTCAGAAGGAAAACAAACACATGAGAATGAAATTCTTGTCTGCGGGGAACAGCTGCTCAGTCCTCCAGCGAAGCACCCACAGGCCTTGCCCTGGGGCCAGCAGGCCAGGAAGCAAGTACAAGAAGCGTCCCCCTCAGCGGGCATGGCTTACACAGAAGCTCTGCCCAGTCCAGCCTTGCTGTCCTTTGATGTGTAGAAGCTTGTTTCTCAGGCTTGTATCTTGGCTGCTGACTCTTGGCCACCGCCTTTCCACTTTGTGTGTAGATGTGAGTCCATTCATTGCTCCAACCATTATGGCCCAGATGGTCCCTCCTTCCACTGGCCCAGAGTAAGGTTCTGTACTTCAGGTCCTGCCCTAAGGCCAACGGCAAGGAGAAGCTGAAAATACCCCTCCTCTGCTCCCAGGCCTGTGTCCTGGCGAGGTGCTCAGCCAGCTCCTCTGCCAGAGGGGACCGTGCCCGCAGGACGAGCGTACAGGCTGAAGTGGCTCCTGCTCCCTGTCTGGCCTTCCAACTCGCTTTCTGGGCTCCAGAGCTAGTGGGTGAACATGGAGCAAGAATTACCTTCTTTAGAGAAATATTTGACAAAGTTAAAATTGCTTGTTTCTAATGAAATAATATTTATTCTATTGAAAATATATATATAAATGTATATGTACAATACACAGTAGACATGATAGTCCATAGCCACCAGTAAGAGTGGACGCATTTGCTGATGCTGGTGACCACTAAGAAAGCCGTGGGAGTGTGCTGAGTGTCTGCATGGCTGGAGAAGCCCCTCTCCCTCTGCCCAGTCCAGGAGGCAGAGGCCCAGCCCCGTGCCGTCCCAGGGGGCCGAGCACCGTCCACTTTAGATCAGCCCGATGCAGGCTGTGTGCCCTGCCTGGCAGTCTCTCTGCTCACCAGGGCCCTGGTCGCCAGTGCCTAGGCTGGGAGCTCCTCCCAGGGGTCTCTGTTTTACTGTCTTCCCAGTGAGAAAGCCCTTGAGATAACCCTGAGGTGGCCCCACGGGAGCCCCGTGGGGTTTTTCATGGGCATGTGGTAGCGCAGGCGAGTCCAGAACCTGGAATTGGGAGGCGCCGACTTGAGACCTCTCCAAGTGACTGTGGGCAAAACCCGGAGAGCCTTCCTCACCAGGTCAGGTAGGGATTCTGGTTCTTGGAAGGGACAGAACTTGACTAAGATGAGCTTCAGCGTCTGATCATCCAAGGCAAGACTCACTGCTGCTTGCAGTTCAAAGACACTGGGCCCGTTGACATAGTTGGGGCTTAAGATGAAGACTCCTCTTCTACTTTTCTTGATAATGCTCACGATGTCTTCCGTGTACACTGGAAAGAAAGGATTTCATTAATTGCACTCTTATTGCTAAACCTTGAGTCACAATAACCCTGGTTCCCCCAGACCTACCCAGAGGTTCCCCGCCAGGCAGAGCTCCATTAACCTCACCAGCTACTGCCGCCCTATCCACAGCGGGGATACACCCTACTGCCCAGCGCCTCAACCTGCAGTTCTCCCCGCATGCTGTCTCCCCAAAGGCCACTCCTTTAGGAGCAAAGCTTGTGGAACAGGGGGCGGGATCAGGAGCGCAGGCCGTCCAGCCCCTTGGTAGATCTGAATGGAGAAGGCAGAGGCCGTGCCCAGGCTCCAGCAGCCCGCGGCCGGTGCTGCGTTGGTGGCCGGCAGCGTCCCCCATGGCAGGGGCCACCCAGTGGGAAGGACAGGGTCGTCCTGTGAGGTGCCAGGGAAGCTCTGTCCTAGGCCCCGGGGCCACTCCTCTCCCCTGGGATGGAGGCTCACGTGATGGACACACGGCTGCCCAGGTGTCTTAAGCTCACAGCCCTCCCAGTGGGGCCAGCCCCAGCGGCGAGGGGACAGATTGGCACTGACCGCCCCTGTGAGCTATCGCTCCTCTTGCGGGCCGGGCCTACCTCCTCCCGGAGCCACGTCTCTTTCAAGCAAACACAAGGTGTAGCCATATTTGTTTTCCAAAACCTCGGGGAACAGCTTCAAGGCCAGGCAGTCCTCACTCATGGGCGAGGCGGGCTCGCTCTCAGAGGCGCTCCCCTTGGCGTAGGAGATAAAAGCATCAAACTCCTTTTTATCTGGAGAGAGGATGATAGCAGTGTAAGCCACGCACACCTACCTGTGCTCCAAACATATGGCAAATGGGTATGAAGCAGGGTGTGGGGTCGTCACTGAATTGATGACAAAAAATAAAAGCCAGCAGCCAGTCCATTTCAAACCCCACTGGGCGTGTGCCCTTGTCAGCCCAGGAGTTGCGTGGGTTCACTTTCCGAAGCTCGCGGGCCTCTGCTGGTGGCCACGTGGGCCCCACGCGCCACGTCCCGCTCGGGAGGAGCCCCACGGCCAAAGCCCCACGGCCGCTGGCAGGTCGCAGGAGGTAGTGGACCGGAAAGCTGGTGCCTGGCCCTGAGCAGCACGGATCAGCGCCTGTCCTCCTCCTCCAGGGGCTCTGCAGCTCTGGCACTTGTCCCAGGACAGGTCTAGGTCTCCAGCACCTCCGTTGACAAAGGATTTCAAACGCGCATTCATGACTGGGCCGCACTAACCAACTACCTGGAGTGGCAGGAAATCTCCAGGTGAACCCCGGGCTCGGGGTTGGACACACCGGCGCTCTGCACGGACCGGCGGTCACAGTTACAGGGTAGCCACAGCACCGGCGCCCTGCGGGCCTAGGGGCCTCTGGGGAGGAGGCAGGAGCGGGCCTGGAGTCAGGGGCCCGCACCACGCGGCCAGGCGGGGAGCTGCTCCAGGCAGCCAGCCCCCAGGCGGAGCAGGACGCTCAGGTGTGGCCGGCAGGTACTGCTGCGCAGTTTCATGTGGAACATGCCACAGTTGTCCCAACTCCTTCCAAGTCCAGCAAACTAGGACTTTTCTATAATCGGGAAACATTATGGATCTTGGGTAATAAAACTAGAGCGCGGAAGAGTTAGACAACCTGTTAGACATTCTCAATGCGACATTCTAAGCTTCTGTGTATCATCACCAGCATGAAGGAAACATTTTGCTGGAAAGCACCGGGTTGGCCAGAGCGGGCACTGACTGGCTGTGCCCAGCCCGTCCTGCCCACACCAGGCTCCTGACGTGTCCGTGGTAGTGAGAGGAGCATGGTCACAGCGAAGGCTCCCGCCCACCGTACAAGCTGCAGAACCGCAGGACAAGCAGATTTTAGCAGAAGCTGAAATTGTCAGGGAAACAAGACTATGACCAGACATTGGCTTAATTCAAGAAGGCTGACCTTTGTTTTAAATGAATCTCAGCAGCCCGCTTGCCTAAGGGTTTCTAGTGCGTGTCTCAGTGAATGGTCTCAGGGAAGGTGATGGGAGCTTTTCACTCACGGCTCCCGGAGACCTGACAGCCCTCACGGGTGGCTGGTGCGGGGAAGCACTGTGGGGGCTCCTGCCAGGTAAGGGCTGGCCCGGGGTGTGGGGGCTCCCCACAGGTAAAAGCTGGCCTGGGGTGTGAGGGGCTCCCCACAGGTAAGGGCTTAAGGGCTGGCCTAGAGGCCAGCAGAGGGCTGTGCTCTCTCCAAGCAACAGAGCTATTTGCTAAAACTACAAACATTCTAACCCTGGGCCCAGGGACCAGAGAACACGGAAGCGGCCCTCTGTTCGGGGGTGGACAGCACTTGGCCAACAGCACGGGGCCTGCAGCTCACACAACGTCACCCTTGGGGACGTTCCCTCCAGCGTCAGGCCCCTGGCTGTACAGGTGAGGCTGACGAGGCCACACTAAGGGGCCCGCCCAAGCCCTGCCCTTGCCGAGCAGTTCCGTGGGGCGAGACTGTCTGGCTGGTGGGTTGCCGGGCCGGCTTCGGCTTCCCCGCCGCCCGCGCCCTCCAGAGGGGAACCAACCGCAGTCACTAGTCCCTCTGCAGGGGGAAGATGCGCAGGGCCGGGTCCCGCACCGAGTTCGCGGTCAGCAGGAGACCGTGTCAGGTCCCACCTATGTGAGCCTCATGGCGGACACCCCGCTGGAGTGAGGAGCCCTGCGCCCTGCGCCTCCAGGTGCAGGTGCAGCAGCCCTGGCGGCTCGGCGGGCAGGTTAGCGTCAGGCACATCGGTTTCTGGGCTCTTGTGCCTGAGCCAGTCCCGAGAGGGACAGTCACACCGCGGGCAGCCCTTACCCCCGAGCGTCTCATCCTTGTCCTGGCAGGTCCGGCACAGCAGCACCACCTCAATCCAGTACGTGAAGAGCAGCGCGCCTGCTGCCAGCGCGCCCGCCAGGGCGGCCACGGTGCCCAGGAGGACGTACAGGAACACCACTGGGGACGGGAGGGGCAGGAATAGAATAGATTGGGGACCAGCTACAGGGTAAGAACTATGACTCCTGCTCTGTTAACCTGTTAACCGGGGCAGTTCTGTTCTGCTCAGAGAAGCTCCTGGCTGGGAGCTGCACGCCTGGGGCACGGAGCTCACATGGGATCGCAGTCCGTCCTCTTCCGAGAACTGCGTGTCATTATGGAAAGATTTACAACCTCCTGGCACCTGGGCCCGAGGCCCTTTGTCCCAGAGGCATCTGCTCTTTGTAACCCCAGCCCCTGTTACCTGTAACCTGGTCCCAGGGCCCCCGGAGGCACCCGCCCTCCGTGACCGACCCCCCTCAGCCCGCATGACTTGTAACCTGTAAGATTATCCCGTGTCCACTCTCCCATGCCTGCAATTCCTACTTCCCCACAGAACCTTGTCCTTCTACCCAATGTAAGCCGCCGGCTTATGGGGCAGAGCAGGTGTTTGTGGGTGACCTGCTGCTCTCCCTGCTGCCGGCAGGATTGGAATAAACGCTCAGCTAGGATTCCCCCCTGTCTCTGCAATTGGCTCAGGTAGTTACCGGCCGCCGGACCCCTTGGTTGTCTGGTTACAGGGACACAGCGCCGTGAGCCAGTGCAGAGCGCCTGCCGCTGCGCCCACCCACAGCGTCTCCACCCTGTTATCCCAGCAGCATGGCCGCCGCAGGAGCTTCCTCTTGAAGGTTGAGATGCATCAGCCACACCTGGAGGGAGGTCCTACACTGAGTGGGGAGAACTGGGGAGGGGCAGGTGCTGGGCAGGGCGCCTGGGAAGTGGTGGGAGCCACTGTTACTTATTTTCCCCTGGAACTGCCCCAGTGCTCTGCACCCTCTCACTGCAAACCAGTTTCAGGTACAGTCATCCCCACTGAAGCCTACGCTCCCTGCGGCCAGGAGGTGCGTCTGGCGCACCCTCCGTGCACCTAGCGTAGGAGACACCCCTTTATAGAGTGCCCACGGGCCAGAGCCAAAGGCTGTCTTATTGAAATCTCGTGAGCAGCCAGTCTGCTGTTCTAGAATCATTATTAACTGAATGAATGAATGATATCACTTTCATCTCTGAGCTTCGTCTCAAAAGAATTAAAAGCGATTTCTCACTGGAATACCCCTCCAGCTTTAAAGGGCTGTGATCTGTGACATACACATATCCTCCCAGACGCTGAGCAGAAGCATTCTCTCACTTCCAGGCTCCAATACCTGACCATCACGTTTTCTGGATTCAGAGCCAGGAAAGGAAAATGAGAGAGGGACCGAGGTTCTAGCACGAGGCCTTCGCATGGAGCTCGCATAGGTGTTTGTGGAATGAGTGGGAGAATGAATGACGGGCTTTTCCGACACAGCCCGATACGCCCAGTATTGGTTAAGGGGACCAGGTCTGGATCACTGATAGGAAACTTACTAGTGTGTGGTCTTGGTCAGAGTTTTGAGTTAAGCAGCGAAGTGCACAGAAGGCTGGCTACCAGCGTCTCGCTGCTCTCACCACAGCACTATTGCTAGGAAAAGCCTGGCCCGCGGGGAGGCAGCTGTGCCCGGCCTACCTCCCTTCCTCCCCCTCAGCTGGAGGGGCTGCGTGCTGTTCCCCAGCGAGTTCTGGGCGAAGCAGATGAACGTCTTGTGCAGGTCACTCTGGGCGACTCTCTCCAAGTGGACGGTGCGCTGGATGACTTCCGCCTCCACAGTGGCTTTCACTCTAGGAAAGGAGGAGACATCACAGCGCCCAGGACGTACAACGACACCCATTCGCCGTCTCGGGACCATGCGATCGCCAGCATCGGCCTCTGCAGAGCTGGGGCAACCAGCAGGAGGTGCCCAGCTTCACGCGGTCAGGAGGCTCGGGTTTAAATGATGAATCTGCTAAGCATGGTTCAGAGCGCTGACTCTCGGGTATGATTCGCCTGTGGGCCTCAGCTGGCCTTGCTCACTCTAAGCCTGTCCCTGAAAAGATGCTAACAAGAATTTATGAACATCTACGACTTCCGTGGACGGCTTACTCTGTATCAGGCTGTCTTAGCACAAAAGGGGGTTACGGATCCCTCCACTCTGCATCTCACAGGAAGCCCACAGGTGCGGCATGAGTGTCCTAACTTGGCTAGCAATGCAGATCAGGCACAGAGGGCGAGCCCACGTTCACGCTGCTGGACGTGGGACCTGATTCCTGGCCTGTGCCCTTGCCCATCCAGGAGCAGCCAGGAATGGGGGTCTTTATTTCCTCACAATGTGGATTCTCTAAAGTTGCCAATCTTGCCTCTGTCCTCACCCTAAGGAATCTTGTCTACACGGGTGATATTGTAGGCGGTGTTGCTTGGAGACGTCAACACCGACGCTTCCCCACAGAGCGCTTCTTGCAGCCAGAGACTGCTGAGGTCTCACCTGCCCGTCCGCCCCTCACAGGGGCTGGCAGGGGCTGCAGGGGGCACGGTGGCTCCCACACTCACACGGCCGATGGGTGGGAAACACCCACACAGAGGGCGTGTGAGGTCAGAGCACACCCTCTCTCATACTCAACTCCCTTGAGCTTAGATGCAGTATCAGTTTGATAGGAGACCCAATGACTTTCCTTGTGTTAGAAGTTCTTGCTAAATCTGATTACTGCTCCAAAAACCTGTTCTTCGTTATATTTGTTTATTGAAGTGTTTTATAAATCAGAGGTGTGCTAACCCACAGACTGGTACTGTGGAACAGATCTTAGAAAGATGAGGAACTATATCTTTTAGCGCCAAGCCCTGCAGATTGGCCCCAAGCCCTCAATCTCCAGGGCCCCGTGTCCAGCTCTGTGAGGAGCTGGATAGATCTGAATGGCTAGAGATTTCCATTTTAGAAGCAAAATTGTCTTCCCAGTTCATTCTGGCCACTAATTCAGGCCTGTGCTCTTGAGAGCAACAAAGTTTAGAAAAAGAGTAGCTTCCAAGCATTTCAAGACAGACCGCCGCTCAGCCTCCCTTCCCAGGCTGCACTGCTGCCCTGTCCTCACTTCACGTAAGTTTTGGTCAGATCCCTCGGTCTGCAGCGTTTCCTCGTTTTGTACTTTCTGGCTGTAATGACTCTGGAGACCTGGGTACGCTGAGTGGGCACCGGGGAACGGGGGGCTGGGGGACAGCATCCCCCCATTTGTCGGACACGCTGCTTCTGTTCCAGCAGCCTGGGCCACTCTGTCTCCTTGTCTGCCTGATGTTTAAAGCAGCCACAGCAAACTGTTGCTAAACATTGAACTTGAAAGCCACTTAAATACTTCACTCCATGGCCCTGCCCGAAGCCGAATTTGGCCCAGGGTTAAAGTTAATGTGCACTTTGACTTTCATGTTCACCACTAGCTGGCGCTCCTGGCACACTGTTAAGTGTGTGTGTGTGTGCGCATGTGTGTGTGCATGCATCTGTGCGTGTGTGTGCATGTGTGTAAGTGCCTGTGTGTTTGTGTATGTGTGTATGTGTATACCTCCGTGTGCACATCGCAGAGGTTTCCGAAGATGAGAGCATGCATTGTGGGCTGCAAAGAATATCGTCCTCTGATTTTCTCCTTACCTTCTCCCTTCCTTTGTTGGGATTTCCAACTCCCGACCAGAATCTTTGCTGTACCATCTTAGCACCGGTTTGAAGTGCTCTTCAAAGCCAAAACGTGCCGTGCAGTTAAGAGTCAAAGGTTTTCCTGCAAAGGAAGGGGCCACAGTAGATAGGAGGGCAGCCGTGAGGACACTGTCCGGCGCAGCAAGAGGCCTGCGGACATGGCTCCCTGCCCTCAGGCCGCAGGCGCAGCGGGGCTGGGAAGAGCCGCCCACCCGCCCGCCCAGCCACCTCTCGGCAGAAACATGCACCCAGCTGCGCGTCTGCAGTGGCAATGCTGAGATCGCAGACATGGGCTATGATTTTTTGTTGTTTGTTGTTATTTTTATGAAAGAATGTTTCTATCAATTAAAAGATTCTGTATAATAAATGTGTAATAAAGTATCAGCTACTTTTATTAAAAAAAATTTTAAATGGAGTAAGTTACAAATGTGTCTTTATCCCCCAGTGTTCCCTCATCCCCCCAATCCTGCCCTCACCCTCACCCCCTGTTGTCTGCATCCATTGCTTATGCTTATATGCATGCATACAAGTCCTTTGGTTGATCTCTTCCCCTTCCCCCCACCCTCCCCTGCCTTCCCTCTGAGGTTTGAGCATCTAATCGATGCTTCTCTGTCTCTGGATCTGGTTTTGTTCATCGGTTTATGTTGTTCATTATAGTCCACAAATGAGTGAGATCATGTGATATTTATCTTTCTCTGACTGATTTATTTCACTTAGCATAATGCTCTCCAGCTCCATCCATGCTGTTGCAAATGGTAGGAGTTCCTTCCTTTTTACTGCAGTAGTATTCCATTGTGTAGATGTACCACAGTTTTTAATCCACTCATCTGCTGATGGGCATGGCTATTTCCAAATCTTAGCTATTGTAAATTGTGCTGCTATGAACATAGGGATGCATATATCCTTTCTGATTGGTGTTTCTGGTTTCTTGGGATATATTCCTAGAAATGAGATCACGGGGTCAAATGGGAGTTCCATTTTTAGTTTTTTGAGGAAACTCCATACTGTTCTCCACAGTGGCTGCACCAGTCTGCATTCCCACCAGCAGTGCATGAGGGTTCCTTTTTCTCTGCATCCTCACCAGCATTTGTCATTTGTTGATTTGTTGATGATAGCCATTGTGACAGGTGTGAGATGATACCTCATTGTCATTTTGATTTGCATCTCTCAGATGATTAGTGACTTTGAGCATGTTTTCATGTCTCTTGGTCTTCCTTATGTCTTCTTTTGAAAAGTATCTATTTAGATGTGTTACCCATTTTGTGATTGGGTTGTTTGTCTTCCTTTTGTTAAGTTGTATGAGTTCCCTGTAAATGTTGGAGATTAAACCGTTATCAGAGATAACATTGGTAAATATGTTCTCCCATGCAGTGGGTTTTCTTGTTGTTTTGTTGATGGTTTCTTTTGCTGTACAGAAGCTTTTTATTTTGATGTAGTCCCATTTGTTTATTTTCCCTGTAGTTTCCATTGCCCTAGGAGCTGTGTCGGTAAAGAAATTACTTCGGCATATATCTGAGATCTTGTTGCCTGTGGATTCCTCTAATATTTTTATGGTTTCCCATCTTACGTTTAAGTCTTTTATCCATTTTGAGTTTATTTTTGTGTATGGTGTAAGTTGGTGGTCTAGTTTCATTTCTTTGCATATGTCTGACCAAGTTTCCCAGCACCATTTATTGAAGACTGTCTTGACTCCATTGTATGTTCTTGCTTCCTTTGTCAAATATTAATTTGAGCATAGTGGTTTGGGTCGATTTCTGGGTTCTCTATTCTGTTCCATTGCTCTATATGTCTGTTCTTGTGCCAGGACCAGGCAGTTTTGAGAACAGTGGCTTTGTAATACTGCTTGATATCTGGTATTGAGATCCCTCCTACTTTGTTCTTCTTTCTAAGGATTGCTGCAGCTATTTATTTTTTATTCCAGATGAATTTTTGGAGAGTTCTTTCTAGATCTGTGAAATAAGCCATTGGTATTTCCTGGGGAGTGCATTGCATTTATAGATTGCTTTGGGAAGTATGGACATTTTAATGATGTTAATTCTACCAATCCATGAACACGGTATGTTCTTCCATCTGCTTATGTCTCCCTCTAACTCTTTTTTCAACAGCCTGTAGTTTTCCAAGTACAGGTCTTTTACCTCCTTAGTTAAGTTTATTCCTAGGTATCTTCATTTTTTTGTGCAATGGTAAATGGGATTGTTTTTGTAATTTCTCTTTCTGTAAGTTCACTATTGGTGTATAAAAAAATGCCATAGATTTCTTGGCATTAATTTTGTATCCTGCTACATTGCTGAATTTGTTTATTAAGTCTAATAATTTTTTTGATGGAGTCTTTAGGGTTTTCTATGTACAGTATCATGTCATCTGCGAATAATGACAATTTTACTTCTTTTCCAATTTGGATGCCTTTTATTTCTTCTTCTTGTCTGATTGCTATGGCTAGTACTTCTAGTACTATGTTGAACAGGAGTGGTGAAAACGGGCATCCCTGTCTTGTTCCTGTTCTTAAGGGAAATGGTTTTAGTTTTTGACCATTGAGTATGATGTTGGCTGTAGCTTTGTCATATAAGGCTTTTATTATGTTGAGGTATGATCCTTCTATTCCCACTTTGTTGAGCATTTTTATCAGAAAAGGGTGTTGGACTTTTCCTGGGAGCTTTTTGATTACTGTTTCAATTTCATCAGTAGTTATCAGCCTATTCAGGTTTTTTGATTCTTCCTGATTGAGTTTTGGAAGCTTATATTTTTCTAGGAATGTGTTCATTTCATTGGGGTTGTCCAGTTTTTTTGGAGTAGAGTTGTTCGTAGTATTTTTTTTTTTTACAATCCTTTGTATATCAGTAGGGTCAGTTGTTATTTCACCTCTTTTACTTGTGATTTTATTTATTTGGGTTCTCTCTCTTTGTTTCTTGGTGAGCCTGGCGAGAGGTTCATCAATCTTGTTTATCCTTTCAAAGAACAAGCTCTTGGTTTCATTGATCTTTTGTATTGTTGTGGTGGTTTTTTTTTTGTCTCTATGTCGTTTATTTCTGCTCTGATCTTTATTATTTCCTTCCTTCTGGATACTGTGGGCTTTTCTTATTGCTCTCTTTCTAATTCTTTAAGTTGCAAGGTTAGATAATTTGTTACCAGTTTTTCTTGTTTTTTGAGGAAGGCCTGTAGAGCTATGAACTTCCCTCTCAGGACTGCTTTCACTGTATTCCATAGATTTTGGATTGTTGTGTTTTCATTGTCATTTGCTTCCAGAATGCTTTTATTTCTTCTTTGATCTCTTTGGTAACCCAGTCATTGTTTAATAGCATGCTATTTAGCCTCCAAGTATTTGATTTTTTTCATTGTTTTTATTGTAGTTGATTTCTAGTTTTATGCCATTGTGATTTGAGAAGATGCTTGTTATGATTTCTATCCTCTTGAATTTGAAGAGACTTTGCCTGTGGCCTAATATGTGGTCTATCTTTGAAAATGTCCCATGTGCATTGGAGAAGAATGTATATTCTGTAGCTTTGGGGTGAAATATTCTGAAGATATCCATTAAGTCCATCTGATCTAGTGAGTCATTTAGGATTGCTGTTTCTTTGCTGATTTTTTGTTTAGAGGATTTATCCAGTGGTGTCAGTGGGGTATTAAAGTCCCCTACTATGACTGTATTGCTATCAATCTCTCCCTTGATATCTTCCAGAAGTTGTTTTATGTATTTGGGTGCTCCTGTATTGGGTGCTTATATGTTTACCAGAGTTATATCTTCTTGTTGAATTGCTCCCTTTAGTATTAAGGCCTTCTTAATACTAAATTATCTCTTGTTATAGCCTTTACTTTGAGGTCTATTTTGTCAGATATAAGTATTGCAACCCCAGCTTTTTTCTCATTTCCATTTGCCTGAAATTTTTTTCCCATCCATTCACTATCACTCTGTGTGAATCCTTTGTTCTGAGGTGGGTCTCTTGCAGACAACAAATATATGGGTCATGTTTTCTTATCCATTCAGCTACCCTATGTCTTTTGATTGGTGCATTTAATCCAGTTACGTACTTGTTTGTTGTAATTTTTAGTCTTAATGTTTGTGTTTCTTCTTGCCTTTCTGTTTCTTCTTTTTACAGCAGTCCCTTTAGCATTTCTTGCATTGCTGGTTTGGTGGTAATAAACTCTCTTAGCCCTTTTTTGTCTGTGAAGCTCCTGATTCCACCTTCAATTTTGAATGACAGCCTTGCTGGGTATAGTATTCTTGGATTCAGTCCCTTGCTTTGCATCACTTTGTATATTTCATTCCATTCCCTTCTGGCCTGGTGTGTTTCTGTTGAAAAATCAGTTGATATTCTAATAGGGGTTCCCTTGTAAGTAATTTTCTGTCTCTCTCTGGCAGCATTTAAGATTCTTACTTTGTTGTGGGTGTTTGCCAATTTAATTATGATGCGTCTTGGTGTTGGTCTTTTGGGGTTCATCTTGTTGGGGACTCTACGTGCTTCTTGGACTTGCATAGTTTTTTCCTTGCCAATATCAGGGAAGTTTTCTGTCATTATTTCTTCAAACAGGTTTTCTATTCCTTGCTTCTCTTCCTCTCCTTCTGGTACCCCTATTAAGCACATATTGTTGTGTTTTGTGTTGTCCCAAAGCTCCCTTAGGCACTCCTCTTGCTTTTGAATCTTCTTTCCAGTTGCTGCTGTGCTTGTGTTTTTTCTTACCTTGTCTTCTAATTCACTGATGCAGTCCTCAATCTCTTATAGTCTACTATTTAAGCCTTCCATTGTGTTCTTTATTGCAACTATGTCATTCTTCATCTCCTCTTGGTTCCTTTTCATGTTGGTGACATTCCAGCCGTTTGAGCATCCTTATAACCATTACTCTGAATTCTTTCTCTGATATGTTGCTAGCCTCAGTTTCATTTAACTCCCTTTCTGGTGAATCTTCTTTTTCTTTCCTTTGGAGATTGCTTTTTTTATCTTCCCATGTTTTGCTGTAATGTTTTAATTGTAGATCTGATTGCTTTGCTACCCAGTTTCTTTTGGGATGATGCTACTGGTGTGACCTCTCAGGTCTCCTGGGCTTGGTAATCTAGTGTAGCTCCCTACTTGAGCTATTTGGGTTCCCTTGATGTAGGCCTGTGAGCTGGAAAGGCACAACTGCGGTGTCTAGAAATCAGCAGCAGCCGTGGAGGGGGGTGTCCCAATTTTTGCTGTCTTACGCCCTTGGTTGAAGTTGTGCGTGCCCAATGGGGATTCACAGTGGCACCCAGGAACCATCTGTTGGGGTGATGGGGCTCAGGAGGTCTGCGCTCTGGAAAGGTGTGACTATGGTGTCCAGAGTTCTGTAGTTGTGGGGTGGGCAGACTCAGCTTTTGCTGCTGCTTCTGTGGTTGGATACACATGCCCCCAGTGGCGGCTTACAGAGCACCCACGGTGCATTTGCCAGCAGGGTGTACTGACATATTCTGAAGGGCCTTGGCACTGAAGCCACAGAATTGCAGTGTCTGTGGGCAGGTATCCCAGAAGAGGGAATTCAGCATTTCTGCAGCCCAGCAGTGCACACCTGTTTGCATAAGTGCATGCCCAGCGGGGGTTCACAGAGGCACCCAAGGGCTGCCTGTGCCACGGGGGGCTTGGGAGGCTTGCGCGCTGGAAAACCATGCAACTGTAGTGTCCAGAGTTCTGCAGCTGTGGGGTAGGCAGACTCAGTTTTTGCTGCTGCACCTGTGGTGGATAAGCGCGCGCTCCCAGTGGCAGCTCACAGGGGCACCAGTGGTGCCTTTGCCAGCGTGGTGTACTGAAGCACTCTGAAGGGCCCTGGCACTGAAGCCACATAATTGAGGCATCTGTGGGCAGGTATCCAGGATGAGTGAATTCAGAATTTCTACTGCTGGGGGTGTGGGGGTGGGTGGGAGTGTGTCCCTGTTTGTCCAAGATTGCACCTAGTGGGGGCTCGCAGGGCTCCCATGAGTGCCCTGTGGATAGATGGGCTCTGGGTGCTTGCTCGTTGGAAATGTGTGACTGGCAGTGCCTTTGCCGGCGCAGAGCTCTGACGCACTCTGAGGGGTTCACAGCAGCATCCAAGAGCGGCCTGTGGAGCGGTGGGCTCAGAGGCCTGCGTGCTGGAAACACGTGAATGTGGTGTCTGGAGGTTTGCCACTGGGGAGGGGGAGGCTGCACTTACTGCTGCGGGAGCGGTGCACCTTTGGAGGTGGAGGTCCCAGGGTCTGCAGGTCTGCGGGTGGGGCAGCAGGATTTTGGCTGGAGTGGCTGCCGGGTCGCGGGCCACTGTCTGGGTGGTGGTGCTGATGAGTTCCTAGAAGAGGCCTCTCTCCCCTTCAAGATGGCGTGGGCTCCATGCCCGAGCCCCGCAGTGCAGGGGATGCCCGCAGTGGTGGTAGTCTCTCCCTGTCCCAGAGAGCCTGGTCCGCCAGCCCCTGCTGTTCCTGCCAGATTTAACCCTCACTCACTCACACACACACCACACTCCCCTTTCACCCCCTCACTCACTCACTTCCTCTCCCTCACCTCCGTCCTGCCAGCCGCCATCTTCTAGTCTCCAGTATCAGCTATTTTTCAAAAGGGCATTATCAGAACCAAATTTCTTCCTTATTTATTTTTTTAAATTTTTATTTGTCTATTTTTATTTCTTTTTTATTGTTGACACCGTTCCCCGTTTCTCCCCACCCCACCTTTGCCCACTGGCACCAGCTCCCAGCACCCCTCACAGGCCTTCCCCCTCCGCTGACTGTGCCTATGGCTACCATATGGGTGCTTTTTGGCTACTCTCTTCACATGCCCTGACCTCAGTCGGTCTGTTCTGTGCTTCCATTTTGTTCATCAGTTTGTTTTGCTCATTAGATTCCACACATGAGTGAGATCATAAGGTGTTTGTCTTTCTCTGACTGGCTTACTTCACTCAGCGTCATCCAATCCAGGTCCATGCACTTTAACAACAACTGTGTTTTTAAAATGAAGGCTGGTTTGGTCAGAGCACTGGGGTCCCCGTGTGGTTTGAGGGAACAGAGGAAAACGTGAAGTGTGAGCACTGGCTCGGGCTCCAGTGCGGAGCTGAGGGAAAGGCGAAGGGCATCTTTCTAACCAGCATTTACATGCTCAGCAAACGGCACGAGCTGACTGTGCACGTTGTTCAAAGACATTATTCAGACATTTCACTGCTGTGGACCGCGCACGACGGATGTGCACGGATGTGATCACAGGAGCCGGACTCCCCACTTTCTCCCGAGAGCTACCCCGTTCGCTCTGCCTCGGCCTCAGTATCCTAACCATGAGGCGCGCAGAGACTCCATTTGAAAACTCATCCTTGCACCTTACGAATGTTTCTCTCCTAGCCATACTTTAATTCGCTGACACCATTTGTGACTTTGTTATTTTTTAATTACATAATTTTTGTTCTTTCTTTTGTCCTTCCATGCTTGTGTTGTTGCCCATATTGCGATTCCTATAATCAGGATATACTGATACCCCACCTAGCGGTCTCTTGCCACAATACAGCATTTGTTTTCACATTTCTATTAGAAACAGTTCATATTTTAAATAATAATTATTTTGTTGAAGCAACCAGTACTTGGTTTTAAACAGTGCAGCTCGTAGTTGACTGTTTGGTGAGATGTAGATGCTAGTGAAGCTGACGAATAAAATGGACGTAGAAAAGCCATTGGCCCTTCTGCCCCAAAGGAAACACCACTTTGGGAAACACATTAAGTGAGCAGGGATGGTAACATTCTCCTGCAGTTACCTCAAGGGCCAGACAATCACCTATTTTTTAAAGGTTAATGCTACTCAAGTTGGTAAATTGGTTATATTTATAGACTTCACTAAGCCGATGCGCCTACTATACACGCAGCTGTTCCTGGGTAAGAAAGAGTGTGACCCTATTGATCATGTCAAATGCTCAGCCACTGAACGGACGCCAGCCCAGATTGCTCAGTGTGACCTTGGGAGGTCAGTTCAGTTTTGCCTATTTACAGACTTAAAAGCTGAAACTTAGGTTAAGTGACTGTATGAGGAGACAGCACCAGTCAGCGGCTGAGTCCAGATCCACATCCAATTCTATTTGGCTTGAATCCGATTCTCTTTTCCTTATATCACATCACACTTGGACGTGCTCCCAGAATCCCAATCTCTGCCCAGGGTGACAGGCAGCCCGTCTTACCAAGCTCCACTTCCAGGGTGTCCTTGACCGGCTCCAGGATGTCGGGCTTGAGAGTGGTGTTTCTCACTAACGAGGAAAAGAAGAAGCATGATGTGCAGGGGAAGCTGCAGCCTGCGTGCTGAGCGTCTGCACGCATGGTCACACTGAAAGCTAAATATTTTGGAGCTGCCTCTGCAGATTTTATTCACATTCCAGAGGCTAGGACTCGGGTTCCATGTGAAAAGCAAGCTTCCACAATGACTGTGACATTGAGTTGCAGGTGCTGGCAAAGAGTAGTTTTTTATAAATCCATGTCTGCCTGCGTGAAATTTTCTTGCAGGCCACGGGGTGAGGCTACATACTGGGATGGGTGAGCAGGCTGTGCAGGCTGTGCTGTGCTGTGCTGTGCTGTGCAGGCTGTGCTGTGCTGTGCTGTGCTGTGCAGGCTGTGCTGTGCTGTGCTGTGCTGTGCTGTGCAGGCTGTGCTGTGCAGGCTGTGCTGTGCTGTGCTGTGCAGGCTGTGCTGTGCTGTGCTGTGCAGGCTGTGCTGTGCTGAGCTGTGCTGTGCTGTGCAGGCAGTGCTGAGCTGTGCTG